GTTACAATAAAAAGGATAATAAAGATTACTTCTCTATATGTATTATTATATATACAAACCCCTAATTGTAGGTATTATTAGATAGACGGAGACGTTTCTTTTATTTTTCTTGTTTTTTTATTATTTTTCTTGTTTTTTTTTTTGTTTGCTTTTTGCTTTCCTATCGTATCGAGAAATTTGGAATAAAAACGGAAAAAGTAAATGGAGGAATTATGCGGTGTGAATAATTTTATACTCTAAATATCGGTTGTTGGATTGTGATTTCACTCGTTTTAACAAAATAATAAAATGGATAATAATCGATGGAAAGAAAAAAAGAATAAAACGTGAACCCTTAATAAGTGTACTTTGTGTAATTCATGTTTTTATTAAAAACAAATTGTAAATACAAAAAAAAAGAAAAATAACTTTCCCATTTGCGTTTTGCCTAAACTTCACCCCCCCCCTTCCCACCCCTCTTGCTTGCGATCGTCCTCGTCGTATACTACTCACCTCGTATAATTTATATTTATATTAATTTTTATAAATAATCATAGAAAAAAAAAAACAACGAGACGAGAGGCGAACATAAATATTATAAAAAAGTAAAGAAAAAAAGGGAGAAACGGGGTAGTAGGGGGTTCGATAAGAAATATGAGAAGAGAACCACCCCCTTGTCCACCCCATCCCATCCCCATCCTATCCGAAAAAAAAAATTACTTTTTCTTTTTCGTTAACGACAAATATTAATAACGTATATACGAGATAATAAAATTAAAAAGGAAAAAAAGAAGAGAACAGAAAAAAAGAGGACAGAAAATATCTTAAATGCATTTGGAATGAAAAATGGGAGAACAATACGATTCGCCAACAACTATGTGGTATTTCATTAGCGAAAAAAGTGAAAGATCAATCAAACTATAATAACACATAAACACAACATGTGTACATGTGTATATTTAAAACGTACGCATTAAATATACACACACATACACACTTAATTACTATACACGACGCGTGTACAAAAAAAAAAAAACTGCTCGCATTTATTTGCTTTTTATTTTTGTTTTCTTCTTTTTAAAAACTTGTCTCCATCCGCGTTATTATTCTCCTTTACTTTTGACTTTTTCCATTCTTCTCCCTTTTAATCTTCTTTTTCTTCCTTAGAACGCCATAATTTACGAAGAACCTTAATTTTAACGATGGACACGTTTAAAGAATTCTTTTTCACACACACACAAGAACGTTTAATAATATAATAATAATAATAATAATAATAATAATATTTTTTAAAAGTTTTTAATGTCGCGTGTGCGTGTGATTGTGTACTTGTTTTTTTTTCTTTTAAATGAGTGTTAGGATATGTACAAAGATATATATATATATATATATGTTTATATATATTTCAATCCCGAGGAAAAAAAATCAAAACGGCCATATTTCATCGACTTGATTTCTCGGGGGCGCAGAGAAGAGGGGGAAGGGGGTGACCGATCGAGAAAAAAAAAAAAGTAAAAATATGCGATCGAAGAGTAACACAATTCTTATGGATTTCGAATAAATATACACACGTATGTCTTTTTCTTAAAGAGAAAATAATTAAATAAAATTAGAAGATTAGAAGAGTAGAGAAGTTGGAGAGGAAATAAAAGAGAGAGAGAGAGAGAGAAAGATAATCATTAAATATTCAAAAATGTATTCGTACGATACACGAACAAATTCTAATTGTAAAAATAATGAGTGAATATATGAAACGAGTGAAAAATAAAATGAATGCAAGAAAGAAGAAGCTGAAGAAAAATTGGAATGTTGATCGAGGATTCAAGAAAGCACTGTGTTCCCTCCTCCTCCTCCACCTCCTCCTCCACCACTCCTTCAACCCTTTTGGAACTTCCACGTTCCGCGTTTGACATACGACAATCGCAAAACGGTGCCTTCGATATTTTTTAGGCCCTTTTTATACTGTGTTTTTTCTTTTATGCTCTCAATAAAGCGCACGTTATTTATATCATTTGTGCATAAAAAAAACTGACGTTCTCTTTACTTTTTTCTTTTATTATTATTATTATTTAATAATACACGTTTTTAGAAACACGAGATGAGTTCGCGATTTCTATACGCCAAGTGGGTGAGAATATATCGATATTATTATATTATAGGTGTTATTATCGATATTACACAATAATACTCTCTTCTTCTTCTCTCCTCAATGAAATAAATTATTTTATTTTTTTGACATTTTTTGTTTCGTTTGTTTTTTTCCTCTCGGTCGAGTCTCTTCTCTTCTTGTATCTCTCAGCAATTTTCTTTCTTTTTTCTTTTATTACTTGATTACGAAACGATAAATTATTAATGATAATAAAATTATTATACTTATTTCTATATATCTATTATTAATTTATTTGTTTGTGTTTGTTTATTTATTTATATATATATATTTATTTGTTATTGTGTCTTCTTCCGAGACATTTATTTTTATGAAATAAAAAAGAAAACAATTTGTTCAGGGGTCTTTTCAGCTAATAGAAAATAAATTCGTTTAAAATAAAAAAATAAAATATTAAAAAAAAAAAAAAAAACGATAAAAAATTATAATATTATCTTCTCTTGGAGGAATTTAAAAAAATGGGTTCGATGCGATCTTCGATATTTAAAAAAAAAACAGAAAAATATGTGTTTTTGAAAATATATATTCAGAACAACGTGTGTGTGATATTCTTTTTCTCTTATTCCTTCTCATGCTTATATAAATATGACGAATACAGCCAGCATTATCAATCTCTTCACCTCTTCTACGCGAATATGTATGTGAAAACGTTTTACGAATAACAAACTCGTATTTATATAATTATATACGACCGTATAATTAAAAACAATCGCACTCATCCCCATTTATCATCATCCATCGATCGTACTCTCGGTCCCACTTGTTTTAAATGTTTCTTAATTTTTCTTTTTCTTTCTTTTCCTTTTTTTTTGTTTATTTCTTTGTTTGTTTGTTAAGAAAATTCTTTGTACTTGGATCGCGCCAACGCTAAAAATTCAACGTATCTCAGGCGGTAAAAATTGGACTTTGATATTAACCTTAGGATTTGTGTATAATAATTATAATAATGATGATAATAATAATAATAATAATAATAATAATAATAATAATAATAATAATGATAATGATAGTAATAATAATAATAATAATAATTATTAATAATTAATAATAATTAATAATAATAATAAAAATAATTAATGTCCCTTATGTTTGTGAGTGTTTACGTGTATTAGTGTATATTTTATGTAAGATTGTGTACGTCTGAGCGGAGCACGAACTATATATATCGAAAGGTCTAACAAAGCATTAAATCTAAAAAGTTCGCTTTTTATTCGGAACGTCGAACCTCAAAATTCTCGGTGTTCTCTCGATAATACACAATAATAATTCGATAAAGTCGATAGAGAAAAAAGTTGTTGAATCTTTATAAGTTACCTTCTTGTTTTTTTGTTTTTTTTTTTTTCATAGCTTATATATAAACCTTGTTTAATTAATACGAGTTGAGAATATTTCGCATATATATGTATATATACATACATACATAAACATATACATATATATATATATGTATATGTATGTACATTAACGCCCAGGGACAACGAGAGAATTCGTTAGACTTGGAAGAATAGGAAGATGTGTGTGTCAACGATTTTTGTTATTTTTTTCGAATATGATACTTCACATTTGACCGATATATATATGTTTTTATACCTCTCCCTATTATTTTGAAAATTTTCTTTTTTTGTTTTTTTTTTATTTATTTATTTAATTCGTCTTCTCACGTCGTCATCACGTTCATCATCGGAGCTAACGTCTACGTAAAATCTAAACGCTATTTACACCAACTTATTCGCCTATATATATTTAAAGATGATAAGGGGGAAGGGGGGAGGGTTAAGAAGATGAGGGATGGAAAATAGATGAAAGGTAGGTAGGGTGGTGGGTTAGATGGGTTGTTGGTTAATGGTCGATCGTCATCAGATAGGATTTATTGGGCAAGTTAAAAAGGGACAAATCTAACCCCCTTTTCTTTTTGTTTGTTTGTTTGTTTAAAAGCTATCCTACAAAGTATTATAATACAAGACAACGCCGTCTCTTTTTCGTATTATCAGCGGCGATTACGCGTTATATATATATAACATCTTTGGACTCGATTTTATTACACATTTATAATAGAATATTATACTTAGATAATCGCTCGATATATATATATATATATATCTTTTTTGTTTTTTATTTTTTATTTTTATTTCACTCGCTTCTTCTTCTTCTTTTTTTTCTCTTT